ATTCCTCCATTAACATTAATTGCTTGTACTCAAGAAATAGCTGACTGAGTCTTCCTTAGTGTTAAGCAACTGAAAGTGATACAATAATGAGACCAAGAAAAGTAAAAATTTGCGGTTTTGACATCGCAGCAGAATAGACACAGGAAGACGGGGGTCCGTCTTTTGTGTTTGATTTCACCCTGCTGGGGATCCTGGAAAGGATTGAAAGTCGCCCCGTAGAGGCGACAAGCAAGGAGGGGACCCTCTTTGATCCTGGGAAGGTGGCGGCCCTTCGGTTTGATCTGAGAAAGCCGTCCAAACTGGCGGGGGAAAGACTGGCTACATTTGTGTAGCCAGTCAGAAGCTGCTGACAATGGAAGACAATAAGCACTAACAAGCAACCTTACAGCAACATGGATGAAACTGGGTGAGACACTATCCTCTCTTTAAGATTTTAAGACCTCTTCCTGGAAAAAAACTGCCCAAAGCACCCTCCCTGATGAGGAGGAAAGGGGGATTTCCACCCCATTCCCTCAGGAAAAGAAAAGCAGCGAATTAATTACTTGGGAGAAACAGAGAAAATTACAAGATTAATTTGGAATTAATATACATTTATGGCTTTAAATTTGGGGACTAAAAGCACTTTTGAGACTTTTTTTTAAAAAAAAAGGGATTTTAAAAGCTTATATTATAAGTTGGGATTTTAAAAGCTGGAAAATGGTGCTAATGACATCTAGTGGTGAATTATGGCACTACCATTTGTTATGTCTAAAGGAAACTTGGCTTGAAGCCCAGATTTAGATAAGACTCTTACTGACCTTGGAAGCTTTCACTTTTGAAGATTGCAGCTGTGAAAAGGGAAAAATAAAAGAACTTTTGGGCTGCTTATTGATGTGGCAGAGACAATGAACTATTTTAAAACTTGCCTGAACTATGAATATAAATATTATCTGACTTTCAGAGCTGTGTTGTGGAACTATTTCCCTGCAGGAGAAATACACTTCATTGCTTGAGATGATGGAATATTTTGGATTACAAATCCTTGATTGATGAACAATTTTTATTATAAAGACCACCCACAAAAAATGAAATGGATGTCCCATACTCAGCTTGAAATGGTAAAAAACCATCAGTAACACCTGTTCCCAAAGGCTTCAGTTTGACATACTACCAAGAAAATATGGATGAAGATCAGAAAGAAATTCTCTCCATGCTAAAATCAATGCAAGAGACTATTGCTTTAGCTCATGATGAGACTAGAAATAACACAAAGGAGATAAAAGAACAATTTTCTAATCTAAATTTACAAACACAGAATATGACTACAAAGAAGGAACTTTCATTAACTAGCTAACATCTTCAGCACTGATGATATCTAGTTTGGTAATGAAACGCCTGCAAGAAAATAACCAAGCTTAGAGAGAACCAAAGTCCCCACAGTTCAATCCTGAGCTACAAATATTGTCTTCTAATGAAAGAGATTATTCTTTATTTATTGAATGTGTTTATAGGAAAATAAAATTCTTTGCTCCCTGTCCTTGAACATTCCTATCTATCTCTCTTACTTATCAAAGTAGGCAAAGGTAAATTATGTAAAATTATGTAAAATTAAGTAGCCTTAGCAATTTTATAGATATCAGATTTTAAACAAGATTAATACATACAACTATAAACTACCTGTGCATTTAATAACATAAAGTTATCATGCATGGTAATTCCCTCTGTGTTCAACAGCTTTACTTTGGGGAAAGATCAGTAGTTCAGAGTCTGCTTTTTTCAGCTAAGGAATGTGCATCCAAATGCAATTACCCATTGTTTTATTTATTAGCTGCCATCTTGACTTGTGACCCCTCCCACTCCAACAGATATACTTGTTCAAAGAGCAAAATGAAGTAATATAAGAGGGTCGAACTAGAAATTAGATTTATTTAATACAATTGTATGTTATCTCAATTACAGAAGCAACTCTAATGCTATACTAGTCTTTCATTTAACAAAGGCAAATGATTGCTCTGGTATCTTCAAGAGTTTTTTTTATCTTATACTCAACACAGACTTGAGGAAGGAGAAGAGAAAACCAGAAAGAGGGCACCTAGGCTGGAAGACCTTCATATTATAAGTTGCCTGCAAGATAAATTAAATGAAAAAGAAAACTTGATCAAGGAATTGATGGTGAGATTTTCTCCAACAGTGGTGTTGAACAACTAAGAAAAAGCTATATGGAAAGGTTATCTGGCTCTCTTTATGTTGATGTGACGCTCTGCACTTTGAAAAGAATCCTGCCAGCTTGTTCCATTTGAACTCAAAATTAATATATTACTTTGCAAACCAGGAGCATTTTTCCAGCTTCTGCAAAATTTTCTTTAATTGGTCTAAAATTAATCCTCCCCTATCACTCCCTTTTTTGTTCTTAACAGGTTGGACGAACATTTCAACATCCACCTCTCTCTAATAGAGAGATGCAATGCAATCAATAATTGGTGTATTATTTACCAAGAGTGATTGTAACCAAGTCTTTCTAGTTTGAATAACGGTTATTACAGAAGAAACAGTATCAAAGCTGGCTTTTTTGTTCAGTGGCTTCCATTTATTTAAAACAGTTGGTATTATAAGCTCAGAGATGCTCATGATTTGCTATTAGAAGCATTTGAGTGTATCTTTTACTGTAATATTTTTATTATGAATCTTCATCAATCTAAGAATGCCATCTTGCCAGGAGTCCAACATTTCATTTTTGCAATCGTGGGCAGCCAATAAAACCATTTGACTTCCTGATCCTGGACAGTTTCTTCCTGGACTGCCAACATTAATTTATTTATGCCAGCATGGTTTGGCTTTCTCCTGCCAATCTCATCCATAATTAGCCAATAGAAGCAATTGGGTTATTTGGATGATTGTGTGATTTTATGAAGAAGCAATTGGGTTATTTGGATGAATCATGCAATTTTATGAAGCCTGGGAATTTTGTGCTTCTTGGTTCCAGAAGATAGAAGTAATTGCAAGCATAAACTCTGCAAGAATTGGGCTGCTACAAGTTTCAAATATTTTGATTGTTTAAAATATATAACACTGATAGGGGAAGTCACTAAATTGCATTTATCTTTGGTTTGAAATAGTTCTGGCACACAATTGTTTTTCAATATCACTGTAACAGGAAATAATTAAAACTGACATCCTTTCCTGGATTAAATATTATTGATCATAAATATATGAGGTTACTCAACTATTCCTACATGCTGAGCACTGAAATTAAAATTTGTGCATAGCTTGTTTTAAGCCATGATGTGTCATTTTATTATTCTAAAGCAGAAGAAAATGGATGAAGCTGCTCCCAGCTGCATTGTCACAGTTCCAAATTTAGCAACTTACGCAAAAAGCTTTCTGAGTGGCGAGTTGAGGCCTAAAAGAACACCTCAGAATGTAAAATCTAGTTTGGGATCATAATCTAGGTTGTATTCAAGTCTGCTGTCTGTCTGTCTGTCTGTCCTAGTTCTGGAGAATAAACCACTTTCAAGGTAAGTCACTGATTTGTATTTGCTAGAGAGGCATACTCTATATTAATTATCCATTGCTATTGAGGTATCCTGTGTATCTGTATTCTCACACATCCATAGACATCCGGACTATTGCCTTAGTTAATTTTATAATTTCTCTGGTGTAACCTCTAGAACTTTTTTTTGTGTGTGTGTGTGTTAATGCCATCACAACTTTTCATTATTGTTTTATAAGATAACATCCTTATCTTGACTCAGGATGAAAAGTAAAACATAGATAAGAAACAACAGATTCAATATTTTAAGCCCTGGAATTTTTTTTAAATTAGTTAATAAAGATTATACCTGCAAAAAATAAAACTAATAAAAACTAAAAGAAAAGAGTAGAAAGGGCAAAAGTGCAAAGAGAGAAAGAATGCTGTATGTCTATAAGCAGCATTTAAAGATCTATATGGGTGTATCAGCTAGCACTTCAATCTTTCTCAGGAAATCTCCCCTAAAAGGGTCCCCAAATATCATGTTGGTTGTAAAAAATTTAAGCACCATATAATAAGAAAATCCAAACAATAAGATTTACCTAAGGCAACAATGCTTAGGTATGATTAATATCCTATTTCTTGAATATAGTTTGTATCTGCTATGTAATGCAGCTTGAGAATACTGGTGTTTCCAGACTCTACTTCCCACAAATACAGCACAGACATTTTAAATTAAAAAAAGGAAAGGTTTGCAGAAATTAGACATAGCGAGATTTAAAACGTTTGCTTTAAATTTTATATCATTGTTAAAGGGCAGCCCAATAGCTATTACTTGTTTGCAGTGGTTTGTTTTGCAGTTTGTCTATGCTCTAACTTGTTAAAAATTAAGCTAAAGATTGAATGGGGTAGGTTATTGCCATGAGAAACCACAGTTGTAATCATTTATTTTATTTGAAAGAGTTTTGCACCCTCTTATCCATCCATCAAAGTAGCTTGTAACTGATTACAGTAATTTAAAAAACAACATGAAGGAAACACCAGTTTACAAAGGCAGAATATATATTCATATGCTATGCTAAGCTTGTGGTGGATTTGCTGTAACCTTGATAGGTGATGATTGGGTTTTCTTCCTAAAATTCCAAGTTGCCTTATGACCCTGAAGTTCTTAACTCTTGAAACATGGAATCAACAGGTATTAATTGCTGGGTGGAGGGAAAAATGAATGAATAGATTTTAACTGTGATGTCAGTCTGACAGCCTGTAATTTCTTCAAAATGTGATGCATTTTAAGAGACAGTAAACACTCACTTATTGTTTATGCTTCTTCCAGTATTTGTTAGGTTTTCACTTAGATTTCCAGTTTCTCAATTGATTCAGCTAATGAGGTGTTTGCAGCAAATGTGTTTCAAGACTAATCTCATTCCCTCCAAAACAAGTGAGTCAGACAAGTATCACTGCACTGAATATTTTTTCTCAACTTTTTTCAGTCTGCAAAATAATGAAACATCAAAACCAAGACACTCAGAAACCAGACTCAGAGCATCAGAAATTGTTTACAAAATATTTTTCTTTCTGATCAAAACTTTCTACAATAATCAATATTGCCATTGCTGTTATTAAACATTTATACAATATATTTTATATGATATCCTACAGAATAACAAGGAAAAAATCACAGATCACAAGTAGCTAAACATAAGAGATTCAATAGTAACTATTGCCATAAATAAAACATATTTTAAAATATTAATTTATAATTAATCTGGTATTCAGCAAATTCTAGGTAAAATGGATTCTTAGTACAAGTATCTTACTGTACTCAATAATTTTAATACTATATCAGCAATAACATCAAGACTAGCATATTTAAGCCATTCAACTTAGAAAGATACTTATGCAGAACAAAACTGGCTATTTCAGTGGTCTAGGAAACCTAACTATTAAAAAGACATCAACCTTAAACTAGTACCTTAGAATATTTCAGAGCTAGGAATCAAAGGCCCCATTACATGAAATCTGATACAAGTAAAATTTGCAAGGAAGATTTCACCATAATACAAGTAAACATTTTATTCATTTACATAGATGTAAGAAATGCTGATTCTGGGCAATTTATCTTATAAAAAAAAACAAAATAGAAAAATAAAGCCCGACAGATATACGTGAAGAGGTTGTGCTTAAATGTTTTCCAGTCTTAAACTATTTGGCAAGTTGAAATACTAATAGCAACATTTACACTGTATTGAAAGTTAACTGGCTACATTTCCCAGTTATTAGTAAATAAAACTTTGACAAGTCAAAAACAGTTAACTTGCTTTGTAGTTTGCTATAATATAAACTTTAGAAAATGCATATTGTATTTGTTTTTATCTCAGTCACAGCTGAGCTCTTAACTTTGGTCTAAAACATAGGTACATAGTGCAGTAGAGAATGGTTTTAGTCAAGGATGAATCTGCATGCATCTGTGATGCGCCGAGATTTTTTTTATTTCTAAAAATAAATAAGGGCTTGAAGTGCTCTGCTTAATATATTTGAACGTAATATATTTAAATTAGCACTGAGCCTTAAATTCTTCCTAGGCAAAATCATATATTTTGCAATTTTACCCATTGGACATTCTCCTTGCCTGCCCCAACTGCCAAAACAAATTTTCAGAATGTGTGAGAAGCTGCAAAGAAGGGAACACGTTCTCCCAGTATTACTAGTGGAAAAATTTCAGTGAAAGAATATACCAATTGGGATCCATGCATCAAATCTATATTATATATATATACAAAATCTCACAATAATAGCATGCTAGTACCAAAATGGCTGGAACATTCCACTCCAAAGCCACTTGAATTCAGGTTTACTTTTTAAAGATTTCAGGGAAAAATCTCAGTACATATCTACATTATCTGAAATGTTCTTATAATATCTGTTTAAACAAAGTAATAGTATATTTGCATTGTCTGCTCCTGCAATAGTCTTGTCATCATGACCACAGTTAAGCTCAGATTTAGAGACAATTTCTATATTGAATTGTGACACTTAAACAGAATTAAGTGCCAACTATTAGAGTATTAAAGTACTTTTAAGAGGAAGAAAACTAAGAACAATTTTTAAAATGCCAACTCTATGCAAATGCTATGCAATATGTAATAGGATCTTCTTAGGGAAACGGAATCCTAATAAATGGTCTGTAACAAAGTAACATGTTTGTGTGTATATATATATAGTTAATTTATCATATAAAAACAAAAACTTTCACCAGATATTCATTTGTAACATCATTAAAATAAAGTTAGATAAACATTAATTTGTCCATGTGCATTTTTAATTTATTTAAAGCATACAGCTGCCCAACTCAAAAACTGGGTTCAGAAAGTAATTTTTGTTTTGTATTAAAGCAATTCAGATTGTGACATATATTCATAGGCTTTTTTTTTTACATGGAACCAGAAGCTGCAACTGTGCCAAGGATATTAAAAGCACCATGATTCCAAATGATAATGTTAATGGCATCACTTGATTTACAGAAGCTCATAGGATAGAGGCGGTTCTTGCTCCTTAGAAAATCTCCAAAGTCAGGGAGAGACAATGTTCAGTTTGCAGGTGATAGAATAAAAGAAATCATACTTTCTAATCCATGCAATGACAGCTATAGCCTCGTTTAGGGTAGGCTCCTTGCTGTCCATTTTTTCAAAAACAACATATTTTTCAATATAAAATGTACAATGTTATGAAGGTCTAGCAAACTTTATTCTGGCATTTCAATGATGCTTCTTTTCACGTTTGTTTGAGGGGTGCAGGAATATTGGCTGAAGCTTGCTCTAGATAGGCTAGAGGTCCCTGAGGCATCTCAGTAGGTTTTTTCTGCTGGATATTAATATCATCTAAAACCTGTTGCCAATGGCGAAGTTTTCCCAAGTGTTTCTGAATTAGTGTTTCTTTCCGCTGTAATTCATTTCTCAATTCTGAAACATCCTGCATGAAATAGAATAATATAGGAAAGAAACTAAGAATATCTCCTTGGAAAAACATTTGCATTTGAACAAAAACAATGACAAAATCTTAGAAAAACAAGTATCCTGATGTGTTTCAATAAATTATCTAAATTATACTAACAGCTGCTTCCTTTCCTTAATTAACTCACGATGAATTTTGTTAAGAGACATTCTACCTCATTTTCAATTACCATTATCTCACACTAGTTCTCATGTGTTGCACAAAATAATATTTTTTTATTTTTCTTCAAGAACTATGATAAATTATGTTTATGGGTATACCGTGCTAATTTTTGGCCATAATAAAGTTTAAGCTTCAAATTTATGGATGTGCCTATGAACTTTTACGATTTTACCTAGATCATCATGAATTCAATGGACATTTACCCAAATTAAAATTTATATTATTGTACAGTAAAATAATTCCACTGCTGTGTAGATGACAATAGAATAAAATAGAATAGAATCTGGAAGGGACATTGGAGGTCTTCTAGTCCAGCCCCTTGCTTAAGCAGGAGATCCTATACCATCTCAGACAAGTGACTGTCTAGTCTCTTCTTAAAAACCTCCAGTGATGGAACAACCACAATTTCTGAAGGCAAGGTTCCACTGGTTAACTGTCCTCACTGTTAGGAAGTTTCCAGGTTTCTTCTCTTTCATCAGTTTCCAACCATTGTTTCTTGTCCTGCCCTCTGGTGCTTTGGATAATAATTTGACCCCTCTTCTTTGTGGCAGCCTCTCAAACACTGGAATACTGCTATGATATCACCCCTATTTCTTCTTTTCTTTAGACTAACTAAACCCAGGTCCTGCAGCTATTCTTCATATGTTTTACTTCCCAAGTCTTTGATCATCTTAGTTGCTCTTCTCTGAACTTTTTCCAAGGTCTCAACATCTTTTTTGTAGTATGGTGACCAAAATTGGTTGCAGTATTCCAGGTGTGGTCTCACTAGGGTTTTATAAAGCGGTACTAATACTTCGTGTGATCTTGATTCTATGCCTCTGTTTATGCAATCCAGGATTGTATTAGCTTTTTTGGCCGCTGCTGCACATTGCTGGCTCATGGGCAAGTGATCATCTAATAGGACTCCAAGGTCCCTCTCACAGTTGCTGTTTTTGAACCAGGTCTCACCTAATCTGTATTTATATCTATGATTTTAGTAAGAATTAGTAAGAATTTAGTAAGAATATTAGGTCCAGTATAGCTTTACTTCTAGTTCCATCCTCTACCTTTTGGATGACAAAGTTGTCGGCTAGGTTGGTTAGGAATCTGTTTGATCTCCCACTCACTGCAGTTTGTTTTCCATTTGATATCTGGATAGTTGAAGTCTCCCGCTACTAATGTGGTATGCTTCCTCATACATTTGTTAACTGGTTGGCAAAGAGTCCATCTATTTCTTCTGCTTGGTTGGGTGGTCTGTAGTATATCCCATGGCAATGTCACTTTTTTCCCTTTTATATTGACTCATATAAATTCTGGAAGGCTTTTATCTTTGATCATGTGCATTTCTGTAGATATGTAGTATTCTCTTACATATAGTGCAACTCTCCCTCCTCTTTTTGTACTTCTATTTCTTTTGAGCAATTTGTATCCATCTATCAATCCATTCCAGTCATGAGTTTCATCCCACCAGGTTTCTGTAATGGTAACTATGTCATACCTACCCTCGTGTACTATTGCTTTTAGTTCACCCTGTTTGTTCCCCAAGCTTTGAGCATCAGTATATAAGCATTTAAGACTTTTATGTCTGTCTGTGGGTATGTTTCCTGGATCTCCTGATTATTTTTCAATTTTTTTGTCTTTTCTCATCACTCCCTACCTCTTTGTTTTCTTGGGATTTATGATTGGTTTTGTGTTCTAGAGATTCTAATGATTGGTCACCCTTCCCCCTCAATTTTAGTTTAAAGCCATTCTGATGAGTTGGGCCAGTCTTTTTCCCAGTATACTTTCCCCTATTTTCGTGAGGTGCAGCCCATCCCTTGCAAAGAGTCTGCCGCATAGGAAATGCAGTCCATGGTCTAATAAACCAAAGTTTTCTTGGTGACACCATCTCTTTAGCCAGTGGTTTATTTCTAGAATTCTTTTTTCCTTTAATGGGTGTTGGCCGTTTGTTGGGAGTACTGATGAGAACACTACCTGTACTCCTAGTTCAACTTTATTGCTTAGTTGGTTATAGTCTCTCAGTATTGTGCTCAGGTACTTTGTTTCATTATTCATCCCAATGTTAAGGAATAGGAGAGGATAGTAATCTGTGGGCCTAATTATTTTGGTTAGATTCTTAGCCATGTCTTTGAGTTTTGCTCCAGGGAGATAACGTACCTCTCTGGATTTTATGTCCGGTCTGCAGATGATTCTGTTCGAGGATAGAATCTCTTATTACCAACACTCGCCTTCCTTTTGTGGGGGCTGCAGTCTGGGGTGCTTTTCTGTTTATCTCAGGTGTGTTTGTTGATGTGACTTTTTTGGGGATATTTGAAATTGTTTCTTTGCTAGGGGTCTGCATGTTTTCTTTGAGGGGGAGGTTGTGGGTCTGTGTATTTCCATCTAGAGGGAGAAATCGATTGCTCAGTTTTAATGGGGCTGCTTCTGGTTGGATTAGATTGGGCAGTAGGGGTTTGTTAGATGTATCCTGCTTCTGCCTTTGATTGTTGTGTTTCCTTCTATGTGTAACACACCTCCATATGTCTTCCTCCAAGGGTTTATCGGTAGGGTCAAATCCTCTGGGAGTTATTTGTCCATTGTTTGGTTCGGTTTGGGTATAGCTTTCTTGCGTAGGCTGGAGTTTGGCTAGAGTTGCCTCTAGATCCCTTACTTTTTCCTCTAGTAATTCATAGTTTACATTTAATGCATGTATAATTTGGGTGTTCTTTGGGCATAAGCATATACATGGAACATGTATTGCATACCACAATAGTATTCATCGCCTGTTCCATGAATTTGTTGTTTGAAAATCCCTCTTTTATGGTTGGTGGATGTGCTTTGCTGTTAGCCATGTTTCTATCTTCTCTGTTCTAGGTAATTATGCCTATTTTTTTTCTATCCTATATTTTGCAAATCAAAATAGCATCAGTTTCTTTTTCTAAGAGTCTGCTGTGCGGTTGCTGTTCACAGACCCCGGTCTACTGGTCTGCTGCTGTTCGCAGTCCCCGATCTAGTGGTCTGCTGCTGTTTGCAGGCCCCGATTTACTGCCGTCTGCAGCACCTGGTCTACTGCTATCTGCAGGCCCTAGTCTGGATCTGAGCCCGTCCACAATTGAATCAATTAAGCGCCTCAGACATGATACAAACAATACTTAGAATACCAATGCTGACAGATAAAATAAAAATACCTCCTATCCTTCCACAAGAACTCTGCTGGTTGGCCTGGGGACCAAGTGGGGGAGTTCCACCCTGGGTGGGTGCTGGATTGATGGCCAGCTACACATTTCTGCCCCCCCCCCTTTTGCTCTGTTCTCCACCCATCCATCTTTCTAGTTATAATATTGATGTACTATTCTCAGTGTTCTGTTTTCATTGTTTATTTTATTGTTCTATTATTATACTTCTATTTACGCTCCTTTCATTTTCTTCCTTTTTATTATTGTAAACCATCTAGAGTAGCCCCATGGCGAGATAGGCAGCAAATAAATTTAACAAATAAAATAAATTATACAGATTAGAGATAGCAAATCATCATCCTACTACAGTGATCAATCAGTTCTACACCAAGCATCTTAAAATATTCTGATCAGAGTAGATTCAGTCCTAATTTATGTAATAAATGAGTTGTAGCTCATGTTTTTAATCCCACTTGTGCCTCATAGCAATGTTCCACTTAACTGTATTATAATTACTGTGTTGTAATTTAGCATAGAATCAGATATCATGCTTAAGCCCAAAGAAATCCATATCCTTACCTCCTTAATTACTTGGTCTGGTTTTTGGACAGATAATTGTAGTCTTTTCTGTAGAAAAAAGCATTCTGTTTGTCGTGCAACTTCTAAAAATTTCTGGATACATTGATCAACACCTAGGACATGAGAAACAAGAGTTTAAAGCTATTAAAGAATAAAAGTCAGGACAAATACTATGTAACTTTAACAAACTTAGTTAAGAGAAGTGTAAAATACTTGGGTCTACATGTGTAAAATGGTGTAAAACAAAAGGCCACCTGTTGCCTCATTAGCAACAGAAGATGGCAAAGTTCAGCAGGGGTGGCAGAGGGCAGGGGAGCAAAAGGGCAGAGATTAGGCGATGAGGGTGGCTAGATCTAACTACTACTCCACACTCATCGCGTCATCAGATAACCGCCCGGCCGCCCTCTTCAGGGTGACCCGCTCTCTCCTCCAGTTGAGGGAGGGAGGGGATCCCCTGGAGGGGAGGGCCGAGGACTTTGCGCAATATCTGTATGACAAAGTCGCTCGGATCCGAGAAGGCCTTGACTCTGAC